AAGAGAAAATAAATGAATAAACGCTAGGCATTTTGGTGTCGGAGATGCTTAAGTGAACTCTTAATTTTATGGAACTATTTAAGCGTCTAAAAAAATGTTGTTTCCTTTGGAAGTGTTGACTCTTACACTATTTAAGCGCCTATAAAACTGTTGCTTCCATTGGAAATTGGGACTTTTACACAACTCTTGATGACATGTCATTTATTCTCTTTTGTTCAGCGTCCATGTAAGAGCTTTGCAGTTTGCATTGTGCATGCCCTAAATAGCAAAAGCATCTTCTAAATATTTGCTGGCCATTGACACAGATCCTTCCTTCTCTTTCTTAGTGATCAGTGTCTTTGCAAACAGCAAAAGCGTCTTCTAAATGCCAGACAAATACCTAGTGTTTTCCATTTGAATCAATGCCATATGCTCAATCCTTATTTCATTCTCGTTTGTGTATTCCAATTTTACTTTGTCTATAGATCCATCCCTGTTGTTTATCGTGGTTGCAAGAGGTGGACATTGCCTCATAGAAATAAAACAGTTGGGTTCATCACATTCAAGAAATACCTTATTTCTCACTTGCTCAGTGCCAATGGCAACTAACAAGACCAATCTCTACTCCTAAAAAGACCAAACTGTCTCGTTCACGCCCCTATCATTCTGCCTCCCACTCCCTTGCCTCCCCGACCCACCAACGTACCCGCTCCCTTGTCCGTTCCCAGAAAAAAAAGAAAAATAAAAAACGCGACTAGCCCCTCGCACTTCGCCGCCGCCGCCAACGCCGTTGAGCGCCCCCGACGCTGCCGCCCGGGCGCCTCCTTCCGGCCAACGAACATGCCGCCACCGAGCGCCGCCAACACCACCACCGCCGAACGCCCCCGACGCCGCCGCCCGGGCGCCTCCCTCCGGCCGCCGACCGTGCCGCCACCGAGCGCCGACGCGGCGACGCCGGACCGTGGCCGGCCGCCTCCAGCGAAGCCTCGGGCCTCGGCCGGAACCCTAGGTCCCGCTCAGCCTCGGGCCTCCGCCCGCTCGGCGGGAGCTCCAGGGGCGGACGGCGAGGAGCAGCCGCATCCCGTCGAGCAGCAGCACACCAGGTGTGCCAACCTCTTCCTGCTGTGCGAAACCGAAAATCCAACCCTAACTTAAGCTAATTGGTTGTTTGTATTCGGATTTGATCTAATTACATTTGTGTATATGTATTATGCCTGCTAACTTCGACCCCTTTCAAAAATCATTATGCGTACATGCGCACACCCATGTCCTTTACTGGATCTGCGCCTGCAGTTCTGTGTGCTTTCAAAAATTACCTAAGAATGGAATGCAGATTTAAGACCAAATTTCAGACAATTACATTTTCAAGAAAACTCTTGATGCTCCAATCCATTCATCATGCTCTGGTTATTTAGAATCTCGATCCTTAGTGTGCTCTTGTAGCCGCTGGCCCTCTCCTGCTTCTTGGCTAATGAATCAGTATGGTTATATTTGAAATCAGCTTAGTTAGACATTGCTCAGTATGGTTATATATTTGATGAAGTTATGTGCTCTGTGCTCAGTTTTCAATGGAATATATTTTTGAACAGCTATGTTTTTACTTTTTCAGTTTTCAATGGATTATATTTGAACGGTTATGTTTATGCCTTTTTAGTTTTCAAACCGTAGGTGGATTGTTATAGAAACTTAGAAAGGTGACTATATATCTTTTTTTTTACTGAGGCTTCATCATGTTAGTTAAAGGCTACAACTTTCAGCACAAGCTGCCACATCGAAGCAACCAATGTCACCCTTAGGATAAACAGGCATATGAAAAAGTATGCTTCTAACAGATTTTTCTGTGAAAACAATGCACCGAGGACATCTCACAACACATAGACATAATCTCTCCATATCTTAATTTTGGCTTGACAAAGGATTCTCAAACACCTCCGAACTCCTCATATAATTTTTTTGTCGCTCCCGTTGCAACGCACGGGCAATCATCTAGTCTAGGACAAAAGCAACATTATGATGGTCTCTACATCTAACGCCTAATTTCTATATCAACCATGAAATATAACAACAGTATGATCTTTTAGTGATAATCAGGGACTGTTCTTGTTGTCATTTTTTTGGTCAAGAAGGAACAACAATTATCATTCCATAACTCAAATTGATGGCCAACCATTGATAATTTCTTCCCATCTGTATGAGTAAATCAGACATGCTCAACTTTATTGATTCAGTGACTCTTAAGAGCAAATCACATTCCTTCACCATGCATCATTGTTTGCTATGCCACCAGTATCTGCTTTTTGAGACATCTTAACAGTATCTGATCTACCTTTTGAAACTAGGACTGCTGACTTTGCAGCTTATGGACATTCCTAGATAATTGCATAGGTATAGTGTCCTCTAAGCTTAGTTAGATTATAGGGTTGATGCTGTAGGTTTACTCCACCCCAGTATGTGATGGTTTTGGAAAATAGATAGCCAATGTACAAGACTGAATGCTTTAGAAAAAATAGTGAGGAAGGGCAATCAATCTTAGGTTTTGGGGATCTCTACAGGACATCGAAATCAGTGGGGTTTTTTTATGTTTATGTACTTTGGGTCAGGGGCTACAACTAACCTGATTAGTCCTGGCTAGGGTCGTTCCTTGGTTTTTTGTTTCAGGTGTTTTTTTCCTAGTCTTTTGAGGGAACCCGTTATTCTCTAGTGAGATAAGGGGACATAAGAGGGTTGTGTTGTATGGGACCGTTATTTCTCTATCTTTAATACAAAGATATGCAAATCTCCTGCATGTTCAAGAGAAAAAAAAAACTTGGCCAGGAGAACACAGAATAGCACAAATATATGGCGCAAACTGCTAAGGCATTATTTGCATTGAAGTAGAAAAACACTGCACATACACCTGCAGATGGCTGTATTCATACATGTACATTAACTTTTCATGTACTCAGCAACTGAATTCCATACACACGATATTTTCATTTCTGTTTCCACAACTCAAGTATATATTTTATCTCAACGTTCGAACCAATGTTAATGGCTAATGCTAACTTTGCGTTCCATTTTGCAGAGGCATACAAGAGTGGAGAACTGCAGGAAACTCTAGAGAAAGCAATATGTTCATAGAAAAAAATTGAACCAGGAGCACACAGCATACAGTTAATCAAAATGTTATAGTATTTGCTGTACAATTCAGGCATGTTAAGCTGGAGATGCTAAGTTGTAGACAATTCATGTCCAAATGTTCAGTGCACTTCGACTGGAATACATTTTTCTGCAATAACCATCCAGCTTTAATAACCCAGATGATATGCTACCAGATTGCTCCGTTTTCAGCTCCGACTACCACTGCAATCAATTGAGGCAGCAAACTGTTGCACTTGCCGTTACGACAGGCAGAATTGATATTAGATCGCATACAATTTCGTAAAGAAAGAATTGCATCAGTATTGTTTGGTGCTCACGTTTATATTCCTTCAATCACCCCTTCATATAAATTATACCAAACTTGAGTTAGCTACGAGTCGCAGTCTCCTCGCATTGCACAGGTAAGGGTAAAGCTTGCCACTGACACCCTTCCCCAGATCCCGCACAGAGCGGGAGCTCTCTGCGCTGGGTACGTCTTTTTTTTTTAACTTGAGTTGGCTATACGGCGACTGAAATTCTATATGCAGCCGTATGAATTATGATAGGAAGGAAGCAGCCGTGTCAGACTGAAAGGCTCTGTGTTGGAGGCTTGCTGCTTCGTCGTGGCTCATTTTCGTTCTTCTACATGCAGGCTTCCGCAAGTGGTTATTGTGACCTGTAATGTAATTTGACCAGTGTCATGCGGTATTTTTTGTAGAGGCAATGGTTTGGACTTTTATAGAAGTAATAAAAAAAAGCTTGACTGATTTCTTAGGTTTCCAAAAAAAAGTGTCAGGAGTGACAGGTTTATTCAGACTCAGCGTAGGGACGAGGCTGGTGGGGGAGGTGGCACTGTTGTGCCCTTTTTCTAGCCATCTTCCATGCCGGTGGACTAAGGGGGTGTTTGGTTTCGCGGACTAAATTTTAGTCCATGTTACATTGAATGTTTGACACTAATTTGAAGTATTAAATATAGACTAATTATAAAACTAACTGTATAGATTGAGACTAATTTGCGAGACGAATCTATTAAGCCTAATTAGTCCATGATTTGACAATATGATGCTACAGTAAATATGTGCTAATGATAGATTAATTAGGCTTAATAGATTCATCTCATAAATTAGTCCCCGTCTGTGCAATTATTAATTTTATAATTAACTCATATTTAGTCCTTCTAATTAATATCTAAACGTCCGATGTGACGTAAAATAAACTTTAGTCTCCAGAACAAACACCTCCTAACAATTTTGGTCTCTCGTATGTAGCTCTTTCTGTTGGCCTGACCTTGGAAACTTCCATGGTCTGCACCCGTATAACACTGTAGAGCTGGTCTGCGCCCGTATAACACTGTAGAACTATTCGGATATGGTTTCTAAGCCGGCTGATTAAGAGAGAGAAAAATCATATATCATGGCTGATAAGTTCAAGTTCAAGCTAACAGGACGACTGAAATTATAGTCGCAGTTCACTTAGCGCCTCTAACGCTTTTAGATTTGACCAGGAAGGTTCGTGGAGGGTGAGCAGTGCGAGACACTAACCGCGACACTGGTCACCACTAACCAGAGCGGCGCCGTCCAACAACGATAGCAAAACATTGTTAGTTTGTTACAGATATGAAGAGATATGAAGTGCGAGCTGAGGGCCCAGTGGCCCGTAACAAGTGCCAACCAACATAATCAGGACACGAATCCAGAATTGGGGTCTTGACATACAGAGAATTATTGTGTCCATGTTAGTAATTCATTTAGCACAGAACAGTGGTTCATTTTAAATAATCTTTCACTTGACAGCACCGGTTCATCTTAAATAATCTCAATTCAGAGTCCTGCTGTTACAGTATCTTAACACCACGGCAGGCTATGAAGGGGACCTAAACCAAAACAGGCAGTGCCAAACAGTCAAGCTTTTAACACCGCCTTGTGGATCATGGTCTCCTTATGTATCTGGTGGCAACTCTTCTCGACAAGGTCGAGAAGTTTCTCGAGGTTTGTGGCCCATGAGTTGAGTGTGCCATTGCAGTCTTGGGCTGTCTGGAAACTAACGACTCCCATCGGCCTGTCAATCTTCGCAATCAGAGATTTTGAGTTCACCATGTCTGAAAGATGCTTCTCTGCCTCCTGAAAAGAGTAATGTGTAGTTCTAGATAGATATCTCAGCTGTACTCTAACTGAAGCTATAAAATAAAATGCTTCACAATTCAGGTGATTGTCATGTACTGTGTTTAAACAAAGGATGCCACAGTTGGCATCACAAAGAAGATACAATATCATGCAAAGGTGAAAAATACAAACCTGCAAACTCAGGCAGAGAAGGTCCGCAAGCCTCTTGAGGGTAATCCTAGAATAATATTTCGACACCACCAAGATATTCTGAACAGAGCAAAAAGTCAGATTCAGTGGACAAGCATATAAAGCAAAATAACTACAATATAGGCCAAAGACAAAGTAAGCAATACATGTTCGATAATCCTCAGCTTCAAATCTTCTGCAGCTTTGGCACCCAAAGCTCCTCCGAGAAGATTCTTCTCGTTCTCGTATTCGTGCTTGGCGAACTCCCACAACGTTGTCCACTGGATGACCTCCATGGTAACCAGCTGCTTTAGCAATAATCTTTTTTTCCCATCACATCACAACAGGGAAAAAATAAGTGATTATTGAGATAAGCCTGCCTGGAGTTATGAGATAAATTTTGCAAACATACAAATGTACCTAAAATTTGGGATTTCTGTAAGGTTCTTATCCTCAAGTGTAGCATTGAGAAGGCTCGATTGCATAGGATCATGAGGTGCTAGCACCAAGTACCAACAGATCTTCCTAAGAATCTGCAAAGGAATTAAGGTAGTCAGATAATTGAGGGGTTGGTGGATGGGTGTCATGTATACACATGTTGAGAGAGTACCGGTATCCACTTTGTTGGATCCTCTTTTATCGCTGGAATATCATAAATCGCCTTGTAGCAACGGCAGATTTCCAGGTAATCATTGTTGTGCATGTAATATCTGTGAAGAGACAACGAAGAATTATGATTGGCTCCAATATGAAATGTAATTATGAACCATAGCGTTAAATAGAAAAAAGAAATTTGGGGTTCCAGAGGTAGTCAGGTAGACGAGCCAATAACGACAATGACAATCAAATAGCACGCCAGTAGTGCATTAAAGATTGAGAAGCATCACATACCGAATCATCAGTTCATAGTAGATGCGCTTCAATTCTAGTAGGGATGGAATGTCTGCAGGAGCATCCTGAACAATATTGTCCCCTTCCTTTTGTTTCTTTTTTTCCTTCAATGGATCTGCTTCGAATACTCTAGTACTAATTTTCCTTGATAAAATTTGTGCTCTGACATAATCTTGCCGATCTAGGCATAGCCGGACCTGTGACAACAATAATAGAAAGTTTTGCAAGAATCAGCATTTTAGTAAGAATACAAAGTATTTAACATAATAGATTGCCATAATACCTGGTCAAGAATAAAAGCAATTTTTTCTGTCTTGGCCATGGAACCAAATGTTTCAACCTGATAAACAACTTGTTAGTAACAGTCATGGATGGTCAGAACTGACAAACAGTACTAAAGAATGACAGAAACATTGTCACATAATATGGAAGTACATGTCCTCAATTCTAGTGCAGTGCAAACTTACAGCAACTTCTTGCATCAAATCAGCAGCCTCGTCAATCTGTCCCTGCTCCTCTTTGATTTTAGCAAGTCTTTTGATCAATCTTGCTCTCTCTATCTCAACATAAATCTGCAGATGAACAACTGTCAGATTACACACATAAAAACAATGAATCTTAAAAGGAATAATAAATCATCAAGATGGAAAATTCTCACTTTGCCAAAGAGAAACGCTGCTCGGTGTTTTGATTAGCTCGATGCGTGTGTCAATGTCTAGTGTCAAATCAATGTAGTCCATTGCTTTCTGAACCATAGCAGTTATGGCCTGCGATAAACAGAAGTGACAGTAATATAAGTGTATAGTAAACAAAACAGTAGCAAGTGACATACATGGTTAGCGTTCCTTTCTATATGCTTATCAATTTATAGGTAAACAAATAGACAAAGATGACTTATGAATCTGCAAAAACAAGATAAATGGTTAGAGTAATGCTTTGGTACAGCATAGGCTCCCATTTGAAAGCAAGTAATAAAGAACTACTTATATTATACTTAATAGATTGATCTAAAGTGTTCTGGTCATGGGCAAAACATTGCTCAAGATGATTGTGAATAAGACTCAAGAACTGGCAACTGTATGTCCAAGCAACTAAAGGTCAAAGCAAAATGTTGAAGATAAAGATTTCACATTGTGGTTGTTCAACAATGGATAGGAACAATGCAAACTCCAGAAGTGCAATCATTCGCTGATGCTAAGAAAATAAGTACCCTAACGAACAACCAAATGGATAACAGTTCAAGAGAATTGCATTAGCATACATCTAGACATCACTATGGCCATGGATGAGAGCATTCAGATTGCACACATAGTGCAATCTAAGAAATGTAAAGCAAAAAATAGTAAGCACATCATGCGCATGCTTCATAGTCAACGCAGAAGAATGGTGAGTGGCGTTGCATTTAAAGGAAAACCAGTCAGCATTGTTAAGTAGAACTAAATCATCAAAAAACAAAAACACAAAATGTTCTGAAAATCAATGGCCGCTGCAAGCAGAAAGAATGTATAAAAGTAAGATATCATGTATTTCTAGCTTTCTTAATAATTACAACTGCATGAAATCTTTATTGGATGGATAAACCATACTTGCGCCAACCACTTTATTAGTTTAAACAGGCAACTTCGATTCAGAAAGCTTTCTCAAGTACAGCTTCTTTCAGACAAGAGTTCAACAGATGTTTTTGGGTCAATACCTCGAACCAACACCAAAAGTACAACAAAGTTACAGTAGTAAAATACTTCAGTAGCACGTTATGCGGCGAAAATTTGAAGCCTAAAGGCCGCTCTGCCTTCGTACAAGCAAACTGATTACTAAAGCACCTCCAAAGGGTCTCATACACATATACTAATTACAGAAACCAATCGAAGATGTAAGAGCAAGGCGGTGAATACTCGAGACCCGAACCTGCTTAAGCTGGCCTCTCCTCTTGGAGAGGAGAACGATCTGGTCGTTGAGCGTCTTCCACGCGCCGGCCTTGTAGCAGAGCTCGACGATGTCGATGACGGCCTTCCGCGTGCCGGCGACATCGCCGGCCAGCCTCATCTGCTTCTCGACGTTCAGGAGCGACTCTATCGCCGCATCGAGGTTGGTGTTGGCACTGTCGCCCTCCTGCACTCATCCAGCAAGAGCAGAGTCAGACCGCGAGGTAGCAGATGAATCGGCGCGGGATCGAAACCCTAGGCGGGGAGGGCGCGGACACTGAGAAGCGGGGTGGAGCGCGGACGGACGAGATGTGGATGGAGAGCAAGGTGGGGGAGGAGGCCGGCGGGGGGCTCACCATGGCCGGGATCGCCGGGAAGCTGCGGACGAGGAGACGGTGAGGAGATCTGTTCAGACTTCAGAGGCCTTGCTTGCGAGAGGGGAAGAAGGTTGGGGCCGACGGCCGAGTTTGTACTGCTTCCCAGTCCGATGGTCCGTCGCCCTCCACGGTAAATCGCGCCGACATGTGGGACCGCTCCGTCATTTGCAGGCCGCACTCCCTCCCACCCCAAAATGGCAACGGGTATGTACCCGATGGTTACTGGCCACCCGTACCTACACCTGTCAGATCAAAATCTTACCTGTCGGGTTACTCGTATTCGCAGGCGGGTAGAAAATTCATTTTATACCCGCACCCGACGGGTAATTCTTATCCGGCGGGTAACCCGCACCCAATAATATACCCGAGTTCACACACCAAAATATAATAGCTTCCAGCAAAACAAATCAACAATAGAGCAGCAAAACAGAAATATATCCAGGTCAAGCTAGTTGAAATAGATCAGATGGCTCATTGGTTCATTCCAAATATGCTTATATGGGGATTAGGGTTTGAGGGAGTTCTGGAATATATATACTCATATGCTTATATGGGTCAAATATGGGCTATATGTTTATATGGGCTAAAATTACAGAGGTTGGATATTATTTATGCGGGTTTTTTTTACCCACGGGTATGCGGGTATGGGTAGTATACACCACACCCATACCCGCATACCCGATGGGTACAAGAATTCGTCCAATAACGTACCCGCGGGTGCAAAATGTCTTCCATACCCGTCTTCTTATCGGGTAAAACCCGTCGGGTACTCGGGTTTCGAGCCGTTTCGGGCCGTTGCCATTTTGACTCCCACCCCTCCCTCTCATCGACAATTGTATGTATCCTTTTCATTTCAGAAAATACTCCTATTAATGTCTACTTCAAATATGTGCAATTTTGACTGGTCTACAACGTCTATGTAATTATTACCAGTTTTTTTTAATGAAAAAATTGCTATTACCCTTAACAGCAACAAATTACATATAAACTTGTTATGGTCCGTAACTTACTACAATAACTTCAATAGTGCCTTAAAATACTTAAATATAAAAACAACTCTTAGAAAAGTCGCTTTGTAGTTGCTCGACAGTAAAAAAACTACACAAGCAAACTATATCTAAGTAATTAGAGTGCCATGACTCAACATCATGGAAACTCATTCCGAATTCCCTCTGTTTTTTCCCCTCTAATCTACTACTCACTGACACAAAGGCACACAAGTGGCATAGCAACTATCCTAGCCATGAACTCTAAAGTTTTTTTCCCCATACTTCACGACCTGTTCGGTTGGCTGGTTCGTATCGTTGCTGGTTCGTGTAGAATTACTGCTGGCTGGTTTGTGTGAGAGAAAAATACTGTTCCGACTGAAAATTTACGATCGTTTACGACAAGCCACAGCCAAACGAACAGGCTGCTTGTTATTTGGGTTAGTGTAGCAATTTTTAAGGAGCAAAGGGTCCCCACCAAAGTCAAGTTTAGCTAATAACCATATATTATAACATCAACGCAAAAAGCTAAAAAATATAAGAGGGCACTAGAGACTATTTCATATACCAAACACGAGGAGAGGGATAAGTTATGTTATGCTATATATACACCAACCTAACAAAATATATGTCGTGCGCACAAATAGAGCATACTATACTTAACAAGAACGTCGTGCACGAGACAACTAATTGTTTTTAAAGTTATTTCAAGTTATAGCCGACAAGACACCAATATCGATCTAAATGAGCAGAGTCCACACTGGGTACGCTTGCCAACCTAATCACGCCATGTTTTTTCTCTAAAGATTTAGAATGACCCAAGAGTAAACTATATCTAGAGCAACTCCCATAGAGATGCTATTTCTAACTTGAATACAATTTAAACAGTTTGTGACATAAAATAGACTACACAGATATTACGAAACAAAAACATGGAGGGCGAGTTTGATCTGAAACAAAAACAGCTGGGCAAGTGACTTGGCGAGTTTTGAATATGAAAATAGAAATTTTACGAAGGTTGTTGGAGAACCCATGTTTTTTTAGGAGATTTTATATTAGAGAATAGCTAAATCATGGATATAGAAATCAATTTTTAGCTAATCTCTTGGAGTTGCTCAACATATAATATATTAATAATGATTTTGGATTGACAAATCCGTATCTTTCGCTTGAAAAATATTAGAATTGGGAAACATGAGTTTTCTTCTGAGTTAGTATATACTCCCTCCGTCCCAAAATAAAAGACGTTCTCGCTTCTCGAGAAACGACTGCCGGCAATTATATATTAAAATATATAAATATTTATGCTAAGTAATTAGTATCATTGAAAAGATCTTTTTGTCTAGTTTTTTAACAAATTTATTTGAAGATATAAATATTGCACGTATTTTCTACAAATCGAGTCAAACTTGTGGCACGAAAACCCAAAACGTCTTTTATTTTGGGACAGAGGGAGTATATAGGACGGAAAGAGAATATAATAAGGAGGGGAAAAAAGAGAAGGAAAAGAGCTTTGGGTCGTCGAGTTTGGGTCCAAACCAAAATCAAGCCCAACGACAACGTTCGGGACCGAGACCGACTCTGCCCACCCACACTGCTTGCAATCGCGCCGCCCCCGCCACTAGGGTTTTTTTTCGTATCGTACCTCGGCCTCGCCGACTCCCTCCCCATCTTCCCCGACCCCGTGTGGCAGCCGCCATTGCCGCCGCCTTCTCCCAGTCGCCATGGTCAGGCTCACCGCCGACCTGATATGGAAGAGCCCGCACTTCTTCAACGCCATCAAGGAGCGCGAGCTCGACCTCCGAGGTTTGCCCACTCTCTCCCTCCCTCCCCCGCCAGTTAGATCTAGGGTTCTGTGTTCTGCTCTTCGAAAGCTCACAACCCTTGCTCCTCCTCCTCCTACTTCGCTGCAGGCAACAAGATCGCCGTCATCGAGAATCTCGGAGGCACCGAGGTGAGCTCCGCCGTCTTCTTCCTTGCTTCTCATACTTCCTTTACGCATGTCTATACTGGCAAATAACATGCGAGATTGTTAGGCGCACGATGCACGCTGCTTTGTAGTCTATGTGCTTGGCAGGGGTGTGGTTCGATTCCCTTTGAAGTTGCTACAGCAATGTTAGTTGCTACACTACAGTAGTGTTAGTATGGTATTGTCAGGCTGTCACAGCCACTTCCACTCACTTTTGTTTTCACGGTAGTTTGTAAAAACCGGGAGCCTCCAAGTAAACGGATTTCACTTCTCTTGAAGTGAATATTGGGTGGTAAATGTTTTGACCTAGTGGATGCATGCATTTTTTTTAATATAAACTGTGAACATTTAATTGGTGGGTAAACCAAAGGGAGCTGTATTTTCTGTATTGAGATACTGTTTCGGACAATCAATCCCAATGCTCTGCTCAACCAGCTTAGGGGGTGAAGGGTCTCATACATTTGTACTAGTATGGTAGGGTAGGACTGGTGGTCTATGTTTTAGTGGTGAACGTAGATGCCTCCTGTACCATAGGAATTGCTATTTGTAATTTTGGTGTTCTATTTACTGTGCCAGACATCTTTTATGTTATGTATATGTATATGCGTACCTGTTTTGTTCCATGGAATTGTTAAAGTGATTGGTTGTCTAATAGTTCTGGATCTGTTTTGATTTTCGTTTCATTTGAGGGGTCTAAAGGGCCTGTGTAATTTCTGTGTTAATATAGTGCCCAATCCAATTTGTTTTGGTCTGGCTGGTCCACATCTCGGTGATTTCATTTATTGGCATATCAATGACTTGATACTGTGCTGTTTGAACTGGTTGAACTGGAATAATATATTTTAAAACCCATTTGGAATAGTATTTAGCTTTATGGGTTCCCTCTCTAGCTTTTTTTAACACCATGTCTATTCATTCTCTCTCTAACAGGACCAATTTGACACAATTGACTTGTCGGACAATGAGATTGTCAAGCTTGAAAACTTCCCATACTTGAATCGTCTTGGCACTCTACTAGTTAACAATAACAGAATCACACGTATCAGTCCCAATCTTGGTGGTAAGAACTCCTGTATTCCCAACACTGTTTTCTAACTCCCATATTTGCTCCATGCTTCACTTTCTTTCTTGGTTTTTTCCCATGCAGAGTTTTTGCCAAAGCTGCATACGCTGGTGCTCACAAACAATCGGCTGACAGATCTTGCGGAGATTGATCCGCTTGCATCTCTTCCAAAGCTACAATTCCTCAGCTTACTGGATAATACTGTAACTAAGCAGCCAGACTACAGGCTATATGTTATCCATAAATTGAAGCATTTGCGTTTACTGGATTTCAAGAAAGTGAAACAACAGGTGAGCAATATCTTTTGGCGTATAAAATGTTGAAATGTTTATCGTTTGCATGAATATCTGTCACACATTTCATGCATTGCTGTCAACATCTGTGCTTAATAGCTTATCTGGAGTTCATTTTTTCTTATTAATCCATGAATCTGCCACTGATGGTTTTTAAGATTAACCCTTAGTTGCTTGGTGTTTGCCGTTCTGATACAACAAATGATTATATGTTTCTTATTTTGGGTTATGACGAGCGGTTAGCACTAATTATCTACTGAAGTATTTTGCATAGAATCTGCTCGTTATTGTTAAGATTGCATGTTCTACTTTTGTAATATATGATATCAACAGGAATTTAAAATTATTAGTGCCGCGATCAACAAGCTTATGTGGTTTTACTTGCTGATGGACCTATAACTGACTGAACCATGTTTTAGCTAAAGTCCATTTTGATAAAGGGGCACATATAATACAAACCACCACCTATTGTGCTAACTCCTTCCTGTCACCATGTCCAGAAAAAAACATTCTAAAGTTCAAAGTTACTGTCTTAAACAAGGATGTCATCTGATACATGTGTTACATTATTCACACTTTCCGTGCTCTCTACATGTTTGCATTTGTGCGAACATGACTAGTAGTTTTATCTAATTTATTTTCAGCTGCATTTATTGTCAGTGTCTTTTTTT